AAGTCTTTGCTGATACATGTTGGGAGAGAGGAAGTGGTTATAAAGAATGATAAAAAAAAATCAGCATGTAGAGTGGACCGCGGAGATACAGCGGGTGGGCGTGGGCGCGAGAGACAGCATCTTCAAGGTTTTCTAGCAAACCCTTTGAGATGGAGAGGGAGAAAATCGGGTCGGTTGCATGCTGTATGATAGCTTGCTTGCTTGCAGGCGGGATGCCTTTGTCATTCATATGAGAGGGTTTCCTGCCATCAGACCTACAGGTTCGGCGGGTCCTCACTTCCGAGCCAAGCAGGCTTGGCTTGGCTTGACCTGGCTTGACCTGAAGCAGCTTGGCTCAGCTCAGCCGTGCTCTTGCCACTGCTGACGCGACTGTGGCATCCATCCATTTAATGGCAACGGTCGCGTGGCACTCATGGTATGGCTGGCTGTGTCAGACTGTCAGTTTCTACTCACTTGTGCACAACACGAGGCAGGAAACAGAAGGTGATGACGACTGGGTGGCGGGTGACAAAACAGCGTCTGCAGCGTATGCGCGGAGTGCCAAAGTGCCGAATTCCACACAGGGGGGAAGTATGCACAGACGGACGCACTCACAGAGTGTCAACGAGCATGGTGGGGTGGGGTGGCCCCTCCCATTTGAGGAAGAGCGCGGGCAGCAGGTTTATGGGGGGAGTAGGCAGGCAGGAGCCAAGCCAAAGTGCTACATTGCACGCAGGGAGGTACCCCCAGCGCAGATGGACTGACAGAGTGTCGGTGAGCATGGTGGGATGGTCCTCCCACTTGAGGAAGAGCGCGGGCAGCAGGCGGGCCATGTGCAGCCGCACCCCGTAGTCCCGGTCGTGCAGCAGCGCAAAGAGTGGCTTAAAGAGGTCCTGTGCGGTGCAGATGTGTGCATGGATGGTGGAAATGGGAAGAGATGAAAGATGGAGAGTGCAGGAGATGTAGAGAAAAAGTCCAGGTTTTTTCGAAAGAAGCACACCTACAAGAGGGGCTGAGAAGGACCTTTGAGTCGTCTATAAAGTCACCTCCTTCGAGACACATGGAATGGAAATGAAGAGGACTGGAGAAGACACATACGGTACAGAGGGGTTGAGAAGGACGAGTGCGAGGAGGGCATATGCAAGGTGAAGGCCAGAGTGGCATTGCTGCAGAGAGGACATAAGAGGACGTGGGAGGTTCAGACACATGGAAGTGGAGACACGTACAGAGGGGTTGAGGAGTACGAGTGCGAGGAGGGCATCCGCGAGGTGAATGCGCGCTGCTGGGGTGGGCAGCTTGCTGGTCAACAGGGGGAGCAGTGCCTCCTGCACCACCTGCTGCGCCTGTGGATGGGAATAGAGGAGAGGAGAGGGAAGCACACGCAACACAGGTTTCAGCCTCGCCACTCCAGCCCAGCTTCACGACAGCACCTCAAGCCGACGTATGTTATGAAAAGGGAGATGAGATGCCTGCTCGAGAACTCTCTCTGGCCTCTCAATCATGCAGGGTTTTTTTTTGCACCTGGGAACCCTCTCTTACCTCAACCATGCAGCATCTCACCGCCACCTCTCACCTCCACCTCACCTCCACCTCTCACTCCACTTCTCACCTCCACCTCTCAGTCCACCTCTCAGTCCACCTCTCAGTCCACCTCTCAGTCCACCTCTCACCTGATTCACATCTGTGTCACTGGCAGTTGCGGTGTCCCCCGCCTCTGCCCACGCCACCACGCTCCCCACGCCCTCCATCCCTTCCACTCACCATGCGCCCCCCATGCCCTTATCCCACTCACCCACCTGATTCACATCTGTGTCGCTGGCAGTTGCACTGTCAGCTCCACCACCCCCCGCCTCTGCCCACACCACCACGCTCCCAACACCCTCCACCCCCTCCTCCACTCCCCCCAGACCCCCCACGCCCTCATCTGGGAGCAGGGGGGGCGGAAGGGCGCCGTCCCTGTGCGCAGCAAGGCGGCGGGACGTTATGGCTGTGAGGAGAAGGAGGTGCTGCTGGTGGGCGTGCACTGCTGTGGATGCATGGGACACCACAGCTACTAGCTGCGAGGGAGAAGAGGAAACAGGGGTTTCAAATGGGAGAACGAAGGGGTTGATTTGGTGCCGGGCGGCAGTGGCTGTGAGGCACAGGAGGTGCTGGTGGTGGTGGGAGTGCAGTGCAGAGCAGTGCGGTGGATGCATGGGGCTCCAGACTGTTAGCTGCGAGGGAGAAGACACAGGGGCGAAATGGGGAAATGAAGGGGGTCGCTGGGTGGCGGGGAGTTATGGGGTTGTAAGGCACAGCAGGTGATGGCGGTAGGAGTGCAGTGCGGTGGATACGTGGGACTCCAGAGCTGCTAGCCGGGAGTGGGAAGAGGGAACAACAGGGGTGAAATGGGGAAATGAAGAGGGCGGGGTGCCATGCAGACAATAACGAAGCGATGCTCCTCACGTGCTGGCGTTGCCACGCAGGCACTCAACCTTTCATTCCACATCACAGAACAGAATGAATATGACTGTATCTCCAGCACGTGGTTGTGGGGTGGGGTGAGGTCAGCCAGGGCAGGGGTGCAGGGTCCGATGCATGAGGAAAGGTGATGTGAAACAGAAATGCAAGGAATGCAAATTGGCCGGACATGTGGACACGGCGCATTTTACAGACAAATGGGACACTGGAATGCATCGTGCTTGCTTGTGACGTGACGTCTCAGTAATGAGCGCGATTAAAACACCAGTTTGCTGGGGTCAATGAGATCGAATCCAGAGTGTTGCAGTCGTACCAAAGGACCGACTGTGATTGACAGTTATAATACTTTAAGTTGGCTACAAAGGTGATGGGAATAAGGGCCATTTTACCAAAGGATCAAGTGCGATCAGTAATTCGGCGTGCGATGCAAGCACAGAAAGCAGCTGCCAGTAGCACTGGGGGGAGAGGGGGGGTGTGAGTGATGGTGGTACAAGGGAGGGAGGGATGTCGGGAAGAAACAGTGAGGCAGAGAGCGAAGTGAAGTGCGAAGTGGAGGAACAGAGAGGGAAAGGGAGGGAAGTGGGGTGGTGTTTGCAAGGGGCGAAGCAAGTGACACCACATCCAGCATCCACCGTGTCGCTGCTGCTCCTCATCCCTCCATTGTGCCCACTGCCCATTGCCAACTCTCTATTGCCCACTATCCATTGCCAACTCTCTATTGCCCACTATCCATTGCCAACTCTCTATTGCCCACTATCCATTGCCAACTCTCTATTGCCCACTATCCATTGCCAACTCTCTATTGCCCACTATCCATTGCCAACTCTCTATTGCCCACTATCCATTGCCAACTCTCTATTGCCCACTATCCATTGCCAACTCTCTATTGCCCACTATCCATTGCCAACTCTCTATTGCCCACTATCCATTGCCAACTCTCTATTGCCCACTATCCATTGCCAACTCTCTATTGCCCACTATCCATTGCCAACTCTCTATTGCCCACTATCCATTGCCAAATGTCCATTGCCAACTATCCATTTCCCACTGTCCACTGCTCACCACCACGTGGCCAGGATAGCACTGCCCAGCACACACCTCACTACCACGTTTTCTCACAGGGGGGACTCGGTCACCCACCCCACCACACACACCGCTCCCTCTGCCACCTCCCCTCCCCTGCCCCCTGCCCACTGCCCACTGCCCACTGCCTCCTGCCCACTGCCCAGCACGCACCTCAGAACCTTCATTGAGCTGCAGAAACGATACCACCTCCCTGCAGGCCGCTGCTGGGAGGAACTCTGCCTCACACCCCAGCAACCACACCGCTCCCTCTGCAACCTCCCTGCCAACTGCCCACTGCCCACTGCCCACTGCCCAGCACGCACCTCAGAACCTTCATTGAGCTCCAGCAGCGATGCCACCTCTCTGCATGCTGCTGCTGGGAGGAACTCTGCCACACACCCCACCACCCACACCGCCCCCTCTGCAACCTCCGCTGCCGCTGCACTGCCACCACTGCTCAAACCAGTCGCCACCGCAACAGAAGCACCACCAGCACCACCAGCAGCAGCACCAATGCCCCCAGCACCGTCCCGCCGCGCACTCTGCGTGTGTCTGCTGCGCACCAGGGGAGCCTGGGAGGGCAGCACTCCAGGTGCATCCAAGTCATTGTCAAAGATCCGAGACTCCTCCCCCTCTCCACCCTCCTCCTCTATCTCAATCACCTGCTGCTGCTGCAGCAGCTGGGATTGAAAGCTTGGGACGATTGCCCTTGATCTCGACCCCATCATGCCTCCCAGTCTCCCTCTCGCCCCGCCTCTCCCACCCCTCTCGCCAGCAGATTGTGGCCCACATTGCCCACCGTGCAGCCCACCCGTGGAAGCAGACGGCTGCTGAAACTCCCAGTCGTCGTCAAAATCGTCGTCCAGGTGACTCCTCGCAGCGAAGGTGAGAGCAGAGGCTGTAGGCAGGGAGAGCACTGACCCAGCTGCTTCACCACCCCCTCCTGCTGCGGCTGCTGTAGCTGCTGCTTCAGCGACGGTGGTATAGCAGGTGGTGGCAAGGCGGAGCATGGCGGAGAGGAGAGGGAGCGCAGCGGGCGAGCGAGGGAGGACGGAGAGAAGGTCGTGGATGAGTGCGATCGAGGGGAGGTCCAGAGAGGCGGTGGGAGTGACGGGTGGTGTCAGGGCGGTCACGGCTGAATGGAGACTCTGCTTCTCAAGAAGACCGCCGGGGAGGAGGTCCGGAGAAAGGGTTCTGCAGGAGAGGGAGGAGGAGAGAGAATGTTAGGGGAGGAAGAAACGAGAGCAGAAAAGGGATAACAACTGCACAGGGAAATGAAGCCAGTCTAAGACGTAAGTCCTCATGACCCCTGCCACAGGTGATTTAAGCTGAGCACTTGGGCACACGAAAGCGAGGAAACGTTGAGTAATGGTGAAGGAAGTGAATATGAATATGCACGGGCAAGTGAAGTGACCTGGTGAAGGAACAGCGGGAGAGCAGGCGACAGAAGTGCAGCCCCACCACTGCCACCCACAGTGTGCTCGCTCTCGTATCACCACCACCAACACCACCGCCACCGCCACCACCACCGTCACCACCAACGCCTCCACTCCCATCCCCACCACCACCACTGCCCTCCCCAGTGCTGCCAGCTGATCCCCTACCCTCCAGCCACTCCCTTTCCCCTCCTCCTGACCCTCCTCCCACCACATCTGCCCCACCACCGCCATGTCTCGCTGCACTGGTTGGTGGGCAGGTGAGCAAGGTGAGCGCAGAAAGGGCTGCTTGGGAGAGCGGAAGAACACGAGTGGAGTCCAGCAGCGAGCGCGAGAGCGTGAGGGCGGTTGAAGACGATGGATAGGGGGAGGAGGCGAGGGAAGGTGGTGTCTGCTTGTCCCTGTGCTGCTGTACGAGTGCGGGAGAAAGAATGGGAGGGAAGGGAGGAGAGGAAGAGAGGGGCGAGGATGAAGCTGCTGCAAGAGAAAACGTAGGGGAGCGACAAGAGGAGGGAGGGAGTGATAGTTGTTTCAAAAGGAACGGAGGCAACAAGAGTTGCGGTGGTGCAGAGCCGAGCTTTACAAAGTGTCTGCGTGCGCTCCTTTCCTGCTTGTCCAGCAAGCAAGTAAATCACTTTGCCGCCTTCCCCTGGCGATACCTGACAGGCTGCAAGCCATGGAGACGGAGGTGACGAAGACAGACGGGTGGCAGCAGCAGAGTATGGCATGCCACGTGCCGCGCATGCGGCAGCTCCTGGTGTCCCTGCTGCCCTTGCAGCTGCTGCAACGAGGCACTGAGGGCTGCGGTCTAAGTGAGGGAGGGCTGGTTCCATGTCCCTCACGTCTTCGTGCAGCTGATGGGGGGGAGGGAGGGTGAAACACACAGACGGTTTCTGAGTGGACCCAAAAAGCGAGGGAGGGCTGGTTCCATGTCCCTCACGTCTTCGTGCAGCTGATGGAGGGGAGGGAGGGTGAAACACACAGACGGTTTCTGAGTGGACCCAAAAAGCGAGGGACGGCTGGTTCCATGTCCCTCACGTCTTCGTGCAGCTGATGGGGGAGACACACACCCCGGTGCAGGCAGAGAGATGCACAGCGTTTGGGGGCAGATCGATGCACCACGCGTGGACAGGGAAACAGAAAGAAATTCAGGAACTTCAAACATGGACCCAAACCCTGACTTGTGTGCTACAAAATGCCACTCTCTCTCCCTTCCCTTCCCTGACATCACACCACTTCTCGCAGGCACTGACAAGGACCATCCCAATGTCACTGACACAGCAAGAGCTTACAGGGAACCACCAGTCGCGGTGGAAGGAGGTGGGTACACGGCACGGGGAAGGACAGGACGGGGCAGCAGCGGCACCAAGTGCAGCAGCGGATGCACGGCAGCACAGTGCTTCGCCTGTCACTGCTGCGCACAGCGCAGCTGCAAGTAAAGATGGGTCCGGTGGGCAGTGAGTGCGGTGCGGAGCGGTGCGCAGGGTGATGGGGTGAGAGGGCTCGGAGTCTCTCGAGGAGAGGGATGGGCCGTGACCCTGCTGAAGGAGTTGCAATGAGCACAGGGCAGCACAATGAGAGGTCGTCTGACTTTGAACAACTCAAAAAAGACAATGAGGGGGGGAGGATGCGGAAGAAAGGCCATGAGGGTAGGAGTTTAAAGGCGCACGATGTCACTGCCAGTGACTAATGAAAACCTCGTCAAATTGGACGTGCATGTGTGGATATGGATGCAGTAAGGCATGGAGAGAGAGGAATGTGGAGCAAATAGGCATGATGAGCTTTCATCACACCACTACCTCACCTCCTCACCCCACCTCACCTCACCTCACCTCACTTCACCGCACAGCAGCTGCCCACCTCGTTGGCCATTGCTGCAAGCAGCCACTGCAGCAACGCCACGCGTGCCGAGCTGAGTGGTGACGTGGCAGCTGGATTCAGTGCCAGCAGCGCTGCCTCCTGCCGCTGGCATGGAGAAGAGAGGGAAGGTGGAGTTGAGGATGGTTGGATAAATTGTCTAAATTCCTCCTGTACATGTACTGTACCCTGCATATATTCTAGGGTGCTTGGGTTAAGGTTGGTTTGGGAAATTATAAAACCCGCCACTAATTTTCTAACCCAAGTATATGTTGAGTGGAGCTATAGTGCAGGCCAAGGTTCCAATCCAAACCACCCTCCATTTTGTCCTGTCTGTCTACAATGTGAAGCAAAATACACCTTCTGCTAATACAATCATCCTTTATAATTTGCTTCTCAGCCTCCTGAAGATTCTACAGAAACAAGACTCGTTCATTTCGGGTCGAGCAAAAAAAAGATGGGAGGCAGATCAAAGCTGCCTGGGCCAGCAAAGGCAAAAGGGAAGTACGGGTGATGCAAGAAGCCAATCAAAGTACCTGGAAGGTTGTATTGGATAGAAGTGCGGTTGCAAACTGCAGAGTTGCACTGATGATGGGAACAAGGGAGAAATAAGAAGCAAGAAAATCATACCACTGGCAGGGGTGAGCAAAGAAACGAACGTGTTCGAGGCGAACCGAACAGGTTATGATTTTTAGTTGTTCGCCCAATCGTGTTCGATGTTCGGCCGGAAACGTTCGTGTTTGTGGCACTGCTGCAGAACGCCCCGTGTCGAACACGAACGTGTTCGAGGTTCGCCCGAACACGCCTTCACAGGCGAACTGCGAACACCCTTTTTTGGGGAAGTCGTTCGGCGAACCGAACAAGGGCGAACGCGAACATGTTCGTGTTCGCCCTTTGCTCACCTCTAACCACTGGGATGGCCATGCATGGGAGAGCATGGAGGGGACGTGCCACGTGCGTGAGAGACTGAGAAACGGTAACGTAGAGTGTGGCATAAGTCAAAGATCTGAGAGGGCATAGGTTCGTTCAGGTCTCGTTGCCTCAACAGAAGCCCAAGTAGCCCACGGCAGAGTGGGTGGCCAGTCGATTTTGGCTAGAGGAATTAAGGCATGGCAAAACGATTGAGTGTGTATATGTAATTGAGTAGGTTGGCAACACCAGATCTATGCTCACCTCGTGAGTGCTGCTCACCTCGTGAGTGCTGCTCCCTCCTTGAACTGTGGCAGTGCCAACAGCTCCCTGGGAGGAGTCACGTCCTGCAGAACCCCCTGTTTAGAAGCACCACGCGTGGGGAATAAGGGGCAGGATGGCAGAGGTACACAATACGAAAGGAAGGAAGGAACATGTCAGTAAAAAGGAGGCTTCCTGCGAGCCGGTGCATGCAGAGACCACAGAGATAAACAGAAGCGTGGACGAAAAGATGGCATTAAACTGGTTTAGAAGTGGCTGGCTCTGAACTCGCCGTGTGCCTGCCTGTTGCCTTTGTCTGGTCAAGCACCAGACAGAAAGCATCATGCAGTGCAGTGCAGTTGGCGCTTGTGTGTGTATGTATATACATGTGTCAATACATTGTATGGATGGTACAGGGCATATGCACTCACTGCTTGCAGCAAGGTGGAGAGGAGCGAGAGGCATGGCTCCACCTGGCAAGAGGGCCAGGTGAAAGGAATGAAATTCCAAGTAAAGATTTTAAGTCTGGGTACCAAAGATAGGTGTGGCAGAAGCACAAGCAGGTGGGTGACAAGGGGCGAAAGGGCGGGGAGACATGGAAACGAATGGACCACGCCAGAAAGCAGGAAGCATGCCCATTAAATATGCAGGAGGCAGGTTTGCAGTGCCTGCCGCCATTACCAGGGAGTGAGGTAATGCAGGGAGAGCAGCAATGACCTCGCCCCACACGCTCTGCCACAGAGCAGCAAGCAGTTGCAGAGGCGGGTGCTGGGATGATGGTCCAGCTCTTGCACTGCTGCTGCTGCTGCCAGGCACTTGGTTGATCTGATGCGAAGGGTGAGCCGCAGTGAGCAACGTGCACAGCTGCTCCAGGCACCTGATTGCAGGGGAAAGATGCGATCGGTGGAGGGTGCGTGAGACGAGCCGTGCACACAGTGATGGCGGATGCTGGATGGCAGTTGGCTAGCAGCTGTTAGGATGGCAAAGGCTCTGAACCTCTGTGCACCATCTAGGGTAGAGCCATGGAAGAAACGGGTTAGTTCCATTCCCCCCTCATGACTGCATCGCTAAGATGGGACAGGAACAAGACAAGATAGCCGCCGGGCGGGTCACAGAGTGAAAGAGAACGCTTTGCACTGGAAGAACCATGTGGGAGTTGGGAAGACATGAAAACAAGATGAGAAGTTAAACAGTGGGTGGCAGCACAGCACAGAGCCTCACCTGAACAGGACAGAGCCCCACCTGAGCAGCACAGAGCCTCACCTGAGCAGCACAGAACCCCACCTGAGCAGCACAGAGCCCCACCTGAGCAGCACAGAGCCCCACCTGAGCAGCACAGAGCCCCACCTGAGCAGCACAGAGCCCCACCTGAGCAGCACAGAGCCTCACCTGAGCAGCACAGAGCCTCACCTGAGCAGCACAGAGCCCCACCTGAGCAGCACAGAGCCTCACCTGAGCAGCACAGAGCCCCACCTGAGCAGCACAGAGACCCACCTGAGCAGCACAGAGCCCCACCTGAGCAGCACAGAGCCCCACCTGAGCAGCACAGAGCCTCACCTGAGCAGCACAGAGCCCCACCTGAGCAGCACAGAGCCCCACCTGAGCAGCACAGAGCCCCACCTGAGCAGCACAGAGCCTCACCTGAGCAGCACAGAGCCTCACCTGAGCAGCACAGAGCCTCACCTGAGCGCCCAGATGGGTGTTGGCAGCGAGCCCTTGTGCCGCGCATCCTGCATCCACCTGCTCCCGGGGGGGGGGGGGGGGCACAGACGTGCGTGCACATGGGAGGCAGGCAGGCAGGGAAGAGGTTCAGTTCAGGTGCTGGGGCCATGGAGGAACAGGGTGATGGCAGGTTTCAGAACACAACACAACACAACACAAGCAAACAGCATGCGAGCCAGGCACGAAAGCAGGAGCGCTGGAGAGGTGCGAGCGATGGCGAGGGCAGCACAGCACACAAAAGCTGATGGTTTGTCGTGCTTTGGCAGCAGCAGGTCACCTGGCGAGGTGCGCGTGCAAGATTATGAGGCAGGAGGCAGCAGCAGTGCATTCATAAGCAGACGCAAGAGTCACCTTGGTGGCATGGCAGATGGGGAAGGCATACTCAGCAGTTCACCTGGCGAGGTGCGAGTGCAGGAGGGCAAGCAAGCGGTGCAGGGCGTGTGGCGGGATGGAATGGCCATGGTCGCACAGCAGCACACACAGAGCTGTTAGCCTGCAGAGATGGTGAGAGGGGGTTCGCGATGAAGGGAAGAGAAGAGATGGAAGGGGGAGAGGGAGAGTAGGGAAGGACAGAGGGATTGATGTAGAGAGGAAATCAAGTGATTCATGCAGGGTGTGTTGCAGGATGGCGTGGGGCATGGCTGCACAGCAACATACACAGGACTGTTCGCCTGAGATGAAGAGACGGAGAAAGCGATGAAGAGAGAGAGAAGAGATGGAGGGGAGAGAAGGACAGAGGGATCGCAATAGAGAGGTACACAAGTGGTGCAGGGCGTGTGGTGGGATGGAGCGCTTGTGGTCGAACATAGTGAGTGAGGGCGAAAGGGGTGGAGGGAGGGTTGGAGGGAGGGGGGCGGGTGAAGGGAGGAGAGAGAGATGGAGGGAGTGGGAAGGCCGAAGGGAGGGTAGGAGATGCAAAATTGAGGAAAGAGAGTTGGAAAGTGGTGGAAGAAGGAAAGACTGACTGAGAGGAAGCACAAGTGATGGAAGCAGGGCAGGGTTCAGGTTTGGGGTTTCAAGGTATAGAGTGGGGGGGGGGAGATGAAGGGGAAGTGCCTCACCAAGGGGCAGTGCCAAGTGCGATATGCTCCTCCAGTACTGCCCATACAAACGAGCCACCTGCGCCACCACCACTGCCCTCACGTGCACCCCCCTCTGCACATACACCTGCCGCCAGCGCCCCCATCAGCGCCCTTGATCCCACGCCGCTGCCTTGTCCCATGCCCACTGCATCTGCGCCTCTCCTCTGTCTCTTGGCGGGACGGCCGTCTTCTTCCTCCTCCGCAGCATGTGCTGCTGCTGGTGGCGGTGACTGTGGCGATGGTGGTGGTAGGTGCTGCAGGTGCTGCATGCATGGGGAAAGAGAGGAGAAACACGGTGGCACAATGGCAGGGCAGGGTGTCACACGTGACAGGGAGGAAAGAGGGCGAAACGAGGTTGTAGTAAAGCTCATAAAGCTCACAATGGCAGGACAGGTTGTCTCCCGGCCCTGGCTCTTCCTCTACTCTCTCTTCAGTCCTCTAATGACTACCCCAACCCAACTACCCCCCCATAAAGCTCATCCCAACCACTATCCTGTACGCCCTAAGCAAATCTTTGCTTCGGTAAGCTTTCGCTCTCCTCCGCACGATGCAAAACATAAATGAAACCAAGGAGAAGGTGAAACCACATCCCAGAACCTTTGCTTCAGTAAAGTTCCGCTCTCCCTGCAGGAGGAGAACACAAGGAGGGGGTGAACTCACCATGGAGAGGAGCGAGGCGGCGAGGTCCATGATGGGCCAATGGGATTGCGCCACAGAGGATGCCGAGTGCAGCGATGACCTGGCGGCTGCTGTCACTGCCCGCACGTCCAGACTACATGTATGCGCGGGGGGGGGAGAGGGGGAAAAGGGGGTATCGATGGGGGTTGAGTGTTGAGCGGAAAGGGGTGGGGTAGAGAGGGAGGGACGCAGAGCAGTGCTGAGGCAGCTGGAATCGGACGCTGCCTGGACGTGCAGTGCAGACTGCATTGGAAAGGAGGAGGTGTTTGAAGGGGGGAGTAGAGAAAGGGGGGATTTCATTGGGGTGAGGGGATTGGGGAGGGGGGTTTTCACGGGGGAGGAGGGAGGGGGGTTTTGCCGGGGGAAGGCAAAGAGGGGGGCTGGGGGAAGGGGGTGGGGGGAGTGAGAAATGGCAGGGCAGCACATGTGAAGCAGTGAGGCACACAGGAGGAACGCATGGGGGCATGGGGGATGGCAGGCACACATGTTGCAAACTGCTTTACGAGGCTGGCTAACGTCACTCCATGGCACACCATACCATACATACACACCAGAGCGTACCGACCAAACTGCACGGAAAAGCCCATTGATTCAAGCCGTCATGCCACCCCCCCACCCAACCACCCACACATACGCCCACCACCACCCACCCACCACGCACCCGGGCAGCAAGCTGGCAGAGGCGGTGGCACCAAAAGTCCCCCCAGCAGCAGCAGAGGAGCGAGAAAGTTCCTTCACCACCAGCGACAGCACCTCGCTCTGCACCTCCCTCTGCACCAGGGCGTGCACATCCCTCTGCCCCTCGCTGCTGCCCTCGCCGCCCCCTGCAGCTGTCAGTGGTGCCTCCCCGCCTCCACCATCACCATTGCGCGGCTCCTCTCCTGCTGTGATGCGCACGAGCATGCGCGCAGAGAGAACAAGCCCCTCCTAAGGGGTGGGGGGGGGGGGAGGGAGGAGGCAACTTTTGAGTCGACTCAAAAGTCACCTTCCTGCTGTGATGCGCACGAGCATGCGCGAACAGAGCACAAGCCCCTCCTGAGAGACAGGGGCGAGGCGCAAGGGGTGAGGGGCGAGGGGCGGCAGAGTGTGTGAAACCATCACATGTGTTGCAGCAGCAAGTAAACCCAGTGACCCAAGGATCTGGGTACACTCACCCTCACATGCTCTGCTCACCATCACGTGCTCTGCTCACCCTCACATGCTCTGCTCACCATCACATGCTCTGCTCACCATCACATGCTCTGCTCACCATCACATGCTCTGCTCACCATCACATGCTCTGCTCACCATCACATGCTCTGCTCACCATTGCCACGTCCTAACCACAAAGCCGCTAAGCGAGTCCAACAGCCCCACTGTAGCGACTCCTGAGTTGATTCACAAACCACGCACAGGGAGGACGGTCGGTCCCAGGTCCCTTAACAAGGCCCGCCAGATGCACCACCATTTGGGCACACCATGACATTCTCATCCCGTGTGCAGTGCCACGTGCGCACCACAAAGACGTGAAGCAAGGCCAGCAGCTTTGCCAGTGCACTACTATTTGTGCTCACCATGACATTCTCATCCCGTGTGCAGTGCCACGTGCGCACCACAAAGACGTGAAGCAAGGCCAGCAGCTTTGCCAGTGCACTACTATTTGTGCTCACCATGACATTCTCATCCCGTGTGCAGTGCCACGTGCGCACCACAAAGACGTGAAGCAAGGCCAGCAGCTTTGCCAGTGCACTACTATTTGTGCTCACCATGACATTCTCATCCCGTGTGCAGTGCCACGTGCGCACCACAAAGCCCCTGAGTGCACCCAGCAGCACCGTCAATTCCCCCGCAGCAGCAAGGCCCTCCCCGCACGCTGCAAGGAAGGCTTCCACACATGCCAGCAGCTTGCGTGCCAGCCGGCCGTCGTCACTGCGGTGCGGGAGAAGGGGGGAATGAGCACTCTAAGTAGTCTGTCTGCCAGTGCGCTCAGCACCCCTGCCAGTGCGCCAACTCCAGTGAGGAAGGCCGCCCCACATGCCAGCAGCTTGTGTGCCAGCCGGCCGTCATCACTGCGGTGTGGTTGAATGAGGGGAATGAACACATCAAGTGGTGTTGAGCAAAGGCCGAACTCGAACAGGTTCGAGTTCGTCCCTGGTCGAACAGCTCGAACAGCCGAACCGAACACTGTTCGGTTCGGCGAACGATTTAGGCCGCCTATGGTGTTCGATGTTCGGCCCAAGGGGCGAACATTTTGAGCACAGAGGCGAACTCGAACATGTTCGACCCGAACATGTTCGAGTTCGCCTTTGATCACATTCACTATAATCATACCTGTCAGAAAGAGTTTTTTTCGGGCCAGAGAGATAAACAAAGGGTTCGCATGGTGCCCCAGTGTTCCTGCAACCGACCCAGTGCTACAAACAACATCCCATTGTCTAACAAAAGTTATATAATGTATAAAAACCCTACGCTAACGCCGCGCCACTGCTACTACCAACAGCAGGCTCCACCCCAGTCGCTGTGTCATCAGCATCCCCCTCACCCTCCCCCTCCTCCTCCTCCTCCTCCTCCTCCTCCTCCTCCTCCTCCTCCTCCTCCTCCTCCTCCTCGTCATCGTCCTCCGCCCCCTCGCCCTCAATGGCAATCTCTGGCGGTGCGACGCCCCTCTGTCGGCGGCCCTCGCCTATCCTCTGGCCGGGGTGTGAGGTGTACCAGGATCGGAGAACCATGATAGCTCGTGTTCTCTGGGAGGCCAGGCGGTGCCGCTTCCAGGAAATGACGTTGCGGCCAAGGGAGAACACCCGCTCGCTCGATGCGGACGTGGCAGGGATCGCGAGATAGTCTCGGGCCATGCGCCTGAGCGTCTGCATGTTGGTGGCGGTGCGCCAGTACTCCAGAGCCGTCACGTCCTCCCGCACCCGCTCCGACAGGTACCTGCTAACCTCGTCATCCTGTAGCATCCCACCCCTCCCCGCCTGCTGGCTCGCTGAGAGACGCGCTGCAAGGCGACGGTGACTAGGGATGTACTGCGCATCCTCGTCGTCATCCGCTGCGTCACCCTCCTCCTCCTCCGTCACGGTGGCAAGTGGGGGCGCCCGGGGGGCAAGCGCTGCAGCCCGGGTCTGGTACTCGGCCACGCGATCGCGTACCAGCTGGACCACCTCGCTAGAAGTGGGACGCGGCCTCACCCTCGGCTCGGTCTCGGGATGCTGCGACTCCCAGTGCTCGTCATCAAACCACGCCGCCTTCATGGACGGATCCAAGAAGGTGGCGATCCACAGCTCGTTGGAGGACATGTACGCGTACTTCTTCAGGACCCCCAGCGCCGCCTCGATCATCGGCTTCAGCGCAGCCGATGGCCCCTTCGCAAGGCGCGCCTCCAAAGCGTCGATCAGGCCGTTGTAGTACGGCAACACCATCGACACTGTAGGGTACGCCGCCCCCTCCGCTGCCTTCGAGACTCTGGCGAATGGACTGAGGAGTGCCTTGACAGCATGCAGAGTGTCCCAATCTGCGTCTGTCAGGCGCAAGCTCTCAACCTTCTTCTTGTCAGTCGCCGACAAGCCCTGTAGGTTTGTGGGTTTGGACAGGCATGGTTGACACAAGGGAACTTAGGTTAGAGAGGGTGGCGTGTGGTTGTAAAACGCACAACAAACATGACCACACACAGTGTTGTCAGTGCTTTGTCCAGGTGGTAAGGACTGCCAGCACACGTATCCCCCGCACACACACAACCCCGGTCGCGAGAACCCGTCACACACACACACCGCTGTCTGGGCAAAGAAGACGTTGATAGGTTCCTGCAGAACCCCGGCTCGCTCGACCATGTCGTGTGTCGAGCCCCAGCGCGTGGGAGAGTCCTGCACCAGCTTCAGTGCCGGCTTCGGTTTGGCGGGGTTGGCCTGCGCGTTCAAGGTCCGTTGCAGGCCCAGGAACTTCCCTGAGCGCTGCGGCGAGAAGCCCACCCACGACGCCATCTCCCTCAGGATCTTCAGCAGCTTGCGGATGGCGGCCACTGCGAGAGCTGCCTTCACGGCAAGGTTGATCACATGTGCCAGGCAGCTGCACACGCAAAACAGCATGAAAGACAGACAAAAGGGGAAGGGTGAGAGGGTCGGGTCAAAGCAAGCCATGAGGACATACGTTTAGGGACACACCAAAAAAGTCACAACTAGGCACGCCCGCAGCCCACACGCTCTCTCGCACACACACTCACCGGAAGTGCATGCGCTCGGTGAAGAAGCACCTCCCACCACCCTCCTCCGACAGCCGCCTGAAGGCAGCAATGTTGCTGGAGGCGTTGTCTGACGTCAACCCAAGACAACGCCCCTCCAACTTCCACTGCACCACTGTCTCCTCAACCACCTTCGCAATCTCCTTGCCTCCATGCCGCCCGAGCATCTCACGGAACTCGAGCACCATCGTGCGCAGCTGGAAGGCCTCGTCTATCCAGTGGCCGGTCACCACCAGCCATGCTCTGTTGTTGGGTGCCGTCCATATGTCTATGGTAATCGACACCTTGCACCCCAGCTCCCCCTCCTTCGCCAGCATCTCCGCGATGGCGGACTGGAGAGCGGCCGCCGCAAAGACAACGGTGTCGCGGGAGACCGTCCAACGGGAGGGGATGAAGTTCTTCTGCGCGCAGTTGCGATTTAGCAGGATCAGAAGCTCCCGAAACTGGAAGGGGGGGTGGAGACAAGGGGAGGGGAGAAAGGGGCGTCAAGCATTAAGTGATGGGCGGGAGACCTGCAGGCACAGTATAACAATCGAGCGCAATAAATGGAATAGCAAAGCAAACTTTCACCCTTTCCCTAACCCTCCCACAACACCCCATGGGACAGGGCACTTACAGCCTCGGCCTCCACGATGCGGAAGGGGAGGTCGCAGGTGACCACTAGCTTGGCGATCGCCCGTCGGAGCTCCCCCTGTGACAGCTTCGTTGTCATAAACCGCTCAATCCCGCCCCCCTTCTTATCTCCACCTGCTGCCTGCGGTGTCTTGGTCGCGAGATGAGGCCACGTTTTGGCATGCGGGTAAGCTTCGACGTAGCCATCTGGAACACCTTTGTAACCCCCGCGTGGAAACGTCTCGCCTGGCAACTGAATGGACGGGGTGTGGTAACGGTGATGCCACACAAGCATATGCGCTGTATGGTGGCTCGCGAAGTGCCGCTCGCCGGGAGTGGTTGTGGACTGCTTCCACGAGATCTTGTCAGTGCAAATCTTGCACTGACGCTTCTCGTCTGCATCCTTCGGTCCGAACATCATAACCTGCCACCCCGGTTTCCTGCTACCCGTCCCCTTGCTACTTTCTGACTCTCCATCCTCGTCTAGGAACTCCGGTGCGATCACGCCCTCACCCAACGGCTCCCCTGTGAACGTAGCGGGGTACGCCCGCTCCCTCAACTTGTTCACCCTCTTCCCCCGCCTTGGCGGCCTAATGGTCGCGGCCTTTTTCCCCATAGCAACCCCCACGCTCCCACCCCCTTCACGCACATGGTGTGAGCCCGCCTCCGTTGCCGCCTCTCCACCACCCTCTCCCACCTCCTCTTCCCGCCCCTCTGGCTCCAACCCATCCATCTCGTGGTCTTCATCATCCTCTCCCCCCTCCCCACCGCCATCCGTCTCTGGGTCCCACCCTGCCTCACTGTCATCCCCACTCCCCTCATCGTCCTCATCGTCATCGCCATCACCCTCCTCCTCCTCCTCCTCCTCATCCTCCTCCCCACTGCCACTCTCCGGCTGTGTCTTCCCCTTAGCAGGGGGTCGAGGGCCGTCGTAGCGGAAAGTGTGACGTGATGTCGGCGTCGCCAAGGAAAGCAACCCTCCCACAAAGCATGCGCCGGCTCCTCCAGGGCCATCCCCTACCCGCCCCTCCATAGGACGTGGTGGAGATCCTGGTACGCTGCTACCAGCGCCACCTGGACCTCGTGCTACAGCTCCACCTCGTCCAGAAGCCATATCTCCGCCCTAGGCTCAAAAACCCTAAACCCCAGGCTGAGGCAACGGGCGGTTTTGGCGGGTAGTAGCACGGACGCGAACGTACTGAACTTCGTGTGGCCTTCTTAGATTGAGTGATTTGTACCGTACGGCTCAGATTAGACCACGTGTTGCTTGAAGATCTTGCCACAAGAACAACTTGAAACCTAGCCTAGACTATGTAGACTCTACCAACGAAACCCTAGTTTAGATCTCTCGGAGGATTAGTTGTGACGGAGAGCTAAGGCCACAACTCCAAGAATGCAAGGGTGGTGGGGTGGGGGTGTGTGGTAGTAGGGTGGCTAAGCTAAAGAAACGCGATTGAGTTTGAGCTAGCAAAAATAGCCCAAACTCAGATCGGCCGCGACCTAAAATTGGTCGCGGCCGAAATTGACGCGAACACCTTGGTGTTCGCGTAGCCCCCGAGTCGAACACGAACAAGTTCGTGTTCGACTTTGGGGGCTTTCTTGACTGAGGCGAACACCGAACATGTTCGGCCGAACACCGAACATGTTCGGGCCGAACAATTTAGGCAAAAAAAAAGGCCTGTTCGGTTCGCCTCGAACATGTTCGAGGCGAACCGAACAGGCGTTCGGATTTTTGCTCAACCTGTCTGCACGGCACACTGTGAGGCACGAAGCCTCTCTGAGCGCTGCAGCCCTGTCAGTGCGCCCACTGCTGCAAGGAAGGCTACCCCACACGCCAACAGCTTGCGTGCCAGCCGGCCGTCGTCACTGGGGTGCGGGAGAAGGGGGGAATGAGCACTCTAAGTAGTCTGTCTGCCAGTGCGCCAACTCCAGCGAGGAAGGCTGCCCCACACGCCAGCAGCTTGCGTGCCAGCCGACCGTCATCACTGCGGTGGGGATGTGGTGGGGGAGCAGAGAAGGATCGGGGCGGGGAACGAAGGGGGAACAAAGGTGCAAACAGGATGCAAAGAACGAAGGGTGAGGAGGGGAGCAAAGGCGCACGCAGAGATGCTCACGGTGGCAGGAGCCCTCATTGTGCAAGCAAAGGGCTGCCGCACCTTTGCTGGTGACAAGGCAACGTGGGATGATGGAAAAATGATGGCACAGATAACTTGAGGTGTGTGATTTGCAGCAGCACTCGCACCTGAGGTGAGTGAAGATGCGGGTGAAGCTGGCTACCATGTCACGCTGCTGCTGTTTTCGATAATCTCAACACTTACTCACATCTACGGTGTGAGAATGGTGGTACGGCACGAGCAGAAGCACCTGAGGTGAGTGAAGACGCGGGTGAAGCTGGCCGCCATGTCACGCTGCTTGGGTATTCTCAACACATACTCGCACTTACGCTGTGAGATCGGCCGCACGGCACGAGCAACCTGCCTGAGGTGAGTGAATGGCAGCACTCGCACCTGAGGTGAGTGAAGATGCGTGTGAAGCTGGCCGCCATGTCACGCTGCTGCTGCCCCTTCAGGGAGGCTCCGCCCGCTGCACAGCGAGTCAGCGCCAGCACGGCGGAAGCAGCCTCCAGACTGGACACTGTAGCAGCACCAGCAGCAGGTGATGCTGATGCTGGTGCGGGCGGGAGGAGCGCCCCTGGTGTTGTGGTGGTGGGATCTGCGCCAGCCGCCAGCTCCAGGCGGGTCATGAAGAATGTGATGAGCTCTGCAGCACACACACGGAGCACACGCGGCACAAGGGGCAGGGCACAAAGGTGAGTGCGGGAGAGTATGTGATATGTTGTGCAAGGTTGTCCTCTCAGACTAGACAGTAGCGCACGTTCAAAAGAAAAGGTTTCGAGTTTGCCTTGCAGCACAGCACCCATCTCATCTCTCAGCACCTCATCCCACAGCGCAGCACCACATTCATCTCACATCACAGCCTCTCAACTCATCCCACCGCGCAGCACCACACTCATCTCACCTCGCATCGTTTTGGTGTTGGCAATGCAGAGCGCATAGTCGGGCACGGAGAGCAGAGCAAGCAGCGTGTGGCAGTAGTCGGTGACGGTGAGAAAGGAGGGCGCCTGGAGCAGCGTGGTTGATATGTGCTGACATAGCGTGCGCACCCCATCTCACTGCGGGCAGCACTGCACTCATCTCACCTCGCAGTGTTTTGGTGTTGGCGATGCAGAGCGCATAGTCAGGCACGCAGAGCAGCGCAAGCAGCGCATGGCAGTAGTCGGTGAAAAAGGAGGGCGCCAGGGGCAGTGTGGTTGATATGTGCTGACACAGCGTGCGCACCCTGTTAACTAGGCGCAGAGGGTGGGCTCCCAGTGGGGGTGGGGGGACTGGGAAGGCAGGGGAGGGAAGCCAAGGGGGAAGGACAATGAGACGACCAATGTGGCTGCTATGTGCTGACACAGCGTGTACACCCTTTTGACTAGGCGCAAGGGGTGTGCGCCCAGTGGGGGTTGGGGGACTGGAAAGGCAGGGGAAGGGAGGGGAAGAGTGGGGGAATGGAGGCAGTGAATCGGGCAGCTGTACGTGCCTCACTCGCTGGCATGCATCCCTGGAAAATGCATCCCTGGCAAATGCATCCCTGGCAAATGCATCCCGATTCCCTTTTAAGAAATCTCTAAACGTAGCCCTGACTGAAGCATCCCCATACCCGATCCCCTCCACACCACACCCAAACCCATCCACCACACCCAAACCCATCCACCACACCCAAACCCATCCACCACACCACCCTCCCCCCGCCCACCCCTCATCGCACCTCTCTCATCTGCGGCCGCTATCAGCCTCCTCAGCTCCCTCGCTGCTTCCTGCCTGTGGGTTCCTCGCACTGCATCCACAGTCCCCCTAAACCCATTCTGCACGCAAACCCCTCCACCCCACCCCTCTCCCAATTCGTCGCACCTCTCTCATCTGCGGCCTCTACCAGCCTCCTCAGCTCCCTCGCTGCTTCCAGCCTGTGGGTGCGGCGCGTGCGCGTGGCGTTTGTAGCGACCACGTCCCTGTTGATGGCCGTGCACAGCGCTGCCACCACCGTGCACCACAGCTCCTCTGATGTGTGCGGGGTGGGAAAGGGGGAGGTTAGGGAAACAGGGTGACAGGGAAGGGCAACAGGGCAACGGGTGGTGTGTGCGGCGTGGCGAGCACGTCCCTGTGGATGTGGGCAACAGGGCACGTCCCTGTGGATGTGGGCAACAGGGCACGTCCCTGTGGACGTGGGCAACAGGGCACGTCCCTGTGGATGTGGGCAACAGGGCACGTCCCTGTGGATGTGGGCAACAGGGCACGTCCCTGTGGATGTGGGCAACAGGGCACGTCCCTGTGGATGTGGGCAACAGGGCACGACCCTGTGGATGTGGGCAACAGGGCACGTCCCTGTTGATGGCCGTGCACAGCCCTGCCACCACCGTGCACCACAGCTCCTCTGTTGCACGCGTGAGTGTGTGTGTGTGGGCAACAGGGAAAGAGGTTGACACGGAGGGTGACAGTGCAACAGGGCAAGGAAACAGGGAGACAGGGAAGGGCGAGAGGGCAAGGGGTGGTGTGGTGTGTACAGCACAGCCATGCGCGTGCATTCGAGAGGTCATCTCAGCCATGCGCGTGCATTTGAGAGATCATCTCATGCAGCAACAGGCGAGAGGGGCACTAGGGCATTGGAAATAAGAAAGATCGGTGAGGGGGAACTTGGCGAGGGAGCAAACAGAGGAATGGGAGAGAGGAGGTATGGCAAGATAGGAAGCGGGGCTAGGCGCAGTGGGGAAATGCAGGAATGGTGCAAGGGGCAACGGGACAGTACCCTTTTGCCAGTACCTCGGTCCAGAGCGGTGCAGAAGGACAGCATGCACGAGTCGTGCATATACCGATGCAGCATCTTAAAGCCCTCCTGCCAGCACAGCACGGGAAGCACGGCACGACAAGCACAGAACAGAAAAACCAGCACAGAACAAAGGTCTGAGAGAAGAGCGCGAATCCAAACAACAGCATGGGGGCGGGCTGCTCACACCAAGTCCATCGCACAACAGAGTCCCCGTGACAACGCCACGTTCAGCCCCCACTACCCGCCGCACCTCGCGCTGCCTGGCCTTGTCCGCGCCCAGCATCTGCACCATCATCGCCTTTTGAGATGTCCCGGAAACCCAACCCCCATCAGGAACACTTTGAAGAGCCCCCGTCGTCACAACCCTCCCAGCACAAACCCTCCCCCCACCCTCCCCCCCAACTACCCTCCGCACCTCGCGCTGCCTGGCCTTGTCCGCGCCCAGCAGCTGCACCATCGTCTCCACCGACCGCGCCACCACCGCCGCCATGCCGTGCGCTCCTCACTCCTCCCGCCCCAGCACTAAAAAAAAAATATCTAATCAAATCCGATTTCGAGCAGCGCGCAGCAAGCAGTTACATGGCGGTTTTCTGGTAGTAAGATGGTTGTGAGCTGCTGCAAGCAGGTCTTAGCGGGGCGACGGTGGGCACTGCGATTGGAACTGCGTGATTGCAAGGGAAGCAGCGCGCGCGGTGAGAGGACGGAAGGCAGCGCGCGTAGTTAGAAGGAAGCATGCTTCGTCTGTGTCCTGCGATTCCAAAAGGCACACCATGTTGTTCTGCATGCAAAGCTAAGCTAAGGACGTGGTGCAGTTTGCCGCGAGCACGGCGATCAGCAATTTCGTGGAAGCCACGGTGGTTTTGGGGGCAGTCAGGGAAGATCACTCGATCGCGATCAGGGCCCCGATCAGCCCCAATGGATCGCCTTAATCAGGCGCCATCATTTGCGATTGTTTGCGATGTGTTGATTGGGTGTGATCAAAAGTCCTAGCGACACACGCGATGAGTAACAATATTAAATGAACGTCTCGCTTTAGGAACCAATGAGAGTTTTTGTGACGCTTGGATACGTACTGCTGTGGAATGAGGTGGCGGCCTCATTCGTTTTCTTCAACGAAGTTATCCGCGGAAGGACCATCTTCAATTCGCGGAAGACTCAACCAGGCATTCAAATTGTGCGTATCTCTCAAAATTTCAAGTCACTTGCACCTACCCGATCCGATCCAATCACCCGCAATTTTGCACG